TTGCAGAGAGCAAGGATGAAGGTTAGCTGGTATTGCAGAGAGCAAGGCGGCATGGGTCTCAGAGTGCAGAGCAGTGTGTGTAGCTGGGCCAGGGTGGCTGGGCTGGGGCTTCCTGGGGGGAGGAGAGAAAGAAGGGCTGCTTTGCACCATGCCATTGGGACTTCCCTGACATTTGGCAGTCAGACCCTTATGCTGCACTAGCAGCTAGATTGGGCTAGCTGAAGCTTCCAAGGGCAGTTCTGGCTTTGTTCTGGCTAAAGCTTAGGGGATTCTTGCAGTCCCAGAGCCACAGAACTGCAGTGTATTCTCTCCCTGACCTCCCTTTGTTTACATCGCACTGCAGCATTGCAACTCCTGCCAAGCCTGTTTCTGACCTCCCAATCCCTTCCGCATACTCCTGCATACCTCCCACCCTCTGTAGTCCTAACTTGGCATTCCCTCTACTTCCCACTTAACCATCTCTGTGTGTCTGGACTTACGAAGACCACCAGGACTATTAGGATGGCCACTGTTAGGTGAAGCGGTCACGTATGTCTCATTTTACAACTTCATTGCTTAGCGATGTAACTTCCAGTCCCAATTACGGTCATAAGTCAAGGACTACCTGCAGTTACATCCATTGGAGCATGTGTGTGTGTATGTGTGTGTGTGTGTGTGTGTGTGTGTGTGTGTGTACACATGTGTTTCAGTGAAACCTGGATGATGGTAAGTGCACAATTTAATGAGTTAAGAGAGCATATTTTATATTAACTCTCATATTTTGCAAACTGAGCCTACAGCAGTAGGGATCAGAACAGACTGAGGCCAAGGCTCAAAGCCTTCCTGAACAAACAATCTCTTTCTTGCTCAACCCAATGTTACTGGCTTCAGGAAAAACAGCACTTTTTTGCAATCCATTGTTGATTGCCACTATTACAGAAGTGGGCGGAGCATTCAACACCAAGAGTATCTTTCAGCTGTCTACATCCAAGCCCCTCATTGCCTCCTGCAATTATGTAAACAAAAGACAGTGGCTGAATATAGTTGCAGAAAGAAAGAGGTGCTTGAAAAGAAAATTGATAAAATACCTGCTGAGTTCAGGGACAATTTCTCCTGGATTTAGGGTATTTGTGAAAAGAGGGGAAAAATCTCCAAGGTAGAACTTATTTCCAGGCATGCTTCGGGCTCTAATTTTAGAATTAGCAAACCTTTACAAAACTCAGAAATCAGGTTCCATTCAGTTCAATGGAGCTGAAGTAAAAGTCCTAGGATTACACTCTAACAGTGTAACCATCTGGCCCCACGGAGTTCCAAAATATTAAAAGTCCTACCGGCCTATCCCAGAGTTTATATTTGTTGTCAGACCCTGACTGATGCTTCCATCTTTCTTTTATCCTATTACTACAAGCAATGGGAGAAAAATAATGTACGCCAATCCAAAACATAAATCTGAATCCTTTGGGGGAGGATTGATAGCAGGGGTGGGATGCTACCGGTTCTGTCCGGTTCTATAGAACCGGTAGCTCTGAAGAGCAGCAGACATAGAACCGGTTCGGTGTTTGCTGCTGTTTGGCCCACCCACCCACCTGGGCTCTTACCTGTCCTTTATTTCCTGCTTTTTTAACCTCAGCTGCTTTGCACGGCATAGCTGAGGTTAAAAAAGCAGGAAAAAAGAGGCTTTTCGAATGCTGTGCACCTGCGCGCAGTGCTTTTCAGCTGTCCAGGTGGCACAGCCTAAGGTTATGTTACATAAGGTTATGTTACATTGGGCACATGCGCATGCAAAACATAATCACCGAACCAGTAGTAATACCGGTTGAATCCCACCTGATTGATAGTATTCTTGTTGGAAAAGCTACTCCATGCAATCTCAGAAAGGAGGTATTCTTGATGTTCTTTGAGCTTGTTTTGTTTTCTTGCAGACGTTTCATTACCCTAACTGGGAAACATCATCACAGCTAGTCTGATGATGTTACCTAGTCAGGATAATGAAACATCTGCAAGAAAACAAACACGCTCAGAGAGCTTGTTTCAACCCTGAGCTACAAATATTCTTCTTTATTGAAATCTCAGCCACCAAAATTGTCCGTGTCATCCTTTCCCTCACTTCAAATCACCAAGGATTGACTGATACAGTAAGGTCTATGGAGGTTCCCACAATGGTGTGAAAGGTGTTCAGAGATTCTCTTTGAGGAAAAATTATCTCTCTCTTCAGAGAGATCTCTCTTTCCCCAATTTGCTTTCTTTTCCATGAGCTAAACTGCAATTTAAGGAAAGGAATCATGTTTGACAGCTTGGGAAATCAATCATTTGATATGCAGAGTTTTATATTTCTGAATGGTATGAAAAATTAAACCAAGTCTGTCTGTCTGTCTGCCCCCCCATCTCTCTATCATCTACCTACCTACCTACCTACCTACCTACCTACCTACCTACCTATCATCTATCTTTCAGTCTATCATCTATCTTTCAATCTATTATCTATCATCTTTCTATCTATCTACTGTGTTTCTCCAACAATACGACCTCCCCGAATAGGAAGACCCAGCATGTTTTCTAGGCATAAAATGAAATTAAGCCCCTCCCCCCAAATTTAGGCCTATTTTAAAACATGCAAAATGGGGGGAAGGGCGGGGGGACTTGCTGTTAGGAGTGCCCCGCGGGCAGCAATTCCTTGCCACCAGCTGCTCCTAATGGGTGATCATGGCAGAGCGCGGAGAGCTCCCTACTCCTGCCAAGCACCTTTGTGGCAGACCCAAGACCTTCAGCGCCCACTGCTGTTGATTTCCCTTCTGCCCATGCCAGCGCCGCGTTTGGAGCTGCCACTTCCACGTTTGGAGCACCGCTGCCATTTGGAGCTGCCGCTTCTGCATTTGGAGCTGCCGCTGCGTTTGGAGCTGCCGCTTCCACGTTTGGAGCGCTGCTGCTGTTTGGAGCTGCCGCTTCCGCATTTGGAGCTGCCGCTTCCGCGTTTGGAGCAGTGCCGCTGTTTGGAGTTGCCATGTCCACATTTGGAGCTGCCGCTACGTTTGGAGCTGCCACTTCCGTGTTTGGAGCACTGCCGCTGTTTGGGGCACCACTGCCATTTGGAGTGCCGCCGCCACTCCAAACACGGCGGCAGCTCCAAACGCGGAAGTGGCAGCTCCAAACATGATGGCAGTGCTCCAAATGGCGGCGGCACTCCAAATGGCAGCAGCAGCTCCAAGCGTGGCGGCGGTGCTCCAAATGATGGCGGCACTCCAAATGGCAGCAGCACTCCAAACACGGAAGCGGCAGCTCCAAATGTGGCGGTGGAATGGGTAGAAGGGAAAGCAACAGAGGCGGGTGCCAAAGGTCTTGGGTCTGCAGCAAAGGTGTTTGGTGGGAGTAGGGAGCTCTCTGCGCTTCGCCATGATCACCCGTTAGGAGTGGCTGGTGGCGAGGCTGCCCGCAGGGCACTCTAGATGAGGATGCAAGGGGGGGGGAATTAAGTCACCCCCGAAAAGACAGCCTAGCCATTTTTTCGGGGCTCAAAAAAATATAAGACCCAGCCTTATTTTATGAGAAACACTCTATCTATCTATCTATCTATCTATCTATCTATCTATCTATCATCTATCTATCAATCTATCTATCAGCTACCTGTTTCTATCCAAATTAAATACACTGAAGAAAAGAGGCAATAACTCAAACACTTGCAAATTGCCATTTGTTTCTGGTATGCCAACTGCAAACTTAACACCAAACACAAAATTAGGGCAATGTTTAAGTTCTGTTCTGTTATTATTATGTTTTGCAAAATGTTCGGGGGCACCTTTCTTTAAAGGAAAAAAATGCATCCCAATTTGAAGGTCTGTATTATAAATTAATTTCTGCCATCACTTGCCTGAGAGCTCGAAAGTGCTCTCACTGCATTCAGATCAGATCCTGAGCAAAAAGTATTTCCCGCACCACGGATAATAAGTCCTTTCCCATCTTTCCAATCTTCTAATTCAGTAATTCTCTCCTGTAGTTCTATCATCATTGTGCCTGCCGTTAAGAGAAGAAAAAAACCAGTCAAATAACATCTTTAGGGTATACCTTTATAACAGCAATTGAATATAAATGTATAATTTATCCCTTTATAAATGCAATTATTATTCCCGGGAAGGAAAATTGCAAGGCAAAGTTTAAATCAAAGGGACAGAGGAGATAGGAGAGCTTCTCTACCAAAGCAGTATAAGTATCAGCTACATCCACACATCAAACAACATGCTGCCAGCAGCAAGTGACACTGCTGAGATCTGAGTATGAAAAGCAGATGCTCTTGCAAATTCAAGAAAGTGTATGTGTGTGTGTGTAAGAAAGAGGGAGGGAGGGGGGAAGAGAAAGGGAGGGGGGGATTGAGATTTCAACCATCCTTGTTCAAGTCAGAATGCTACTGTACAACTTAGTGATTAAATTTCCTCCCATAACTGATAGGCATCACTTTTCACATTTAAGTTTGCCCACTATCAGATTTTGACATTACCTGTAAATGCATTCATAAACCTTGGATTGTTCAGCGTAAGGAGTCCAATCCCATCATCTTCTTTGGACAGGTTGACAGATCCACCCATAAACTGCTGAAGCTTTTTCTTTATTTCATCTTCTTCAAAACCATGACTATTGTTATACAGACACAGCATTCTTGGCTGGAACAACCTGCTCTTAGGAAGCCTTTGGAAATTCTTCCATAATAAAATATTCATATCTGAAAAGGAATACATAGGCAGTGGTAATCTTGTGTATCTCAACAGTATCTCCAAATCAAGCAACTTGTTCTGCTGAAGAAAATCAACATCTCCTTCAACTTAATAACAAGGTCTCAAAACCAGTCTTAGATACCGTGAACAAAGAAGTAACAGAAACTGGTACAAACTAATAGGGAGAACTGATTAGGGGAGAAACAAGGACTCTCCTCTATATAGGCTAAGAATAAACATGCTAGGAATAGGCAGGTTTCTGAGTTCTTGGTCACTCATAGCAACCCTGCTTTTACGCTGTTGCTGCCCTTGTTATCAGTTGAAATAAATTCAGCCATCAATCCACACAATGAAGAAAAATCTATATAGGAACCCTCAGTCTACTGAGTGCATGGAAGGGTGTGATCAGCTTTAATAACTCCATACTTGACCTCTATGTGAATTATTTTTACAGAGAGCTGTAGACAATGATAATTTTATATGCAAGCACTTGTTTTTGTTTAATGTTTTAAATTCAGGTGTAAATTCCCCTTAGGTGTCTCAAAGCATGCAGTTTTGTCACCATGGCTGGACCAAAGCTGGCTCCCACTTTTACGATAGATGAAACTGTTGTGACTACTTTCACTGTTTTGCTTCCTGTCCCCATCAACTTCCAGGAGGTCCCGAGTTTTATGTGGACTGCTTTGGCCTGTAGAACTGGCTGCTCAGATATGTCTTCATTATCGTTCCACCAGAAACCTGGGTCAGAGAGGCTGCATTGGCTCTGACATGGGCAGGTCAGACCCCTGCCTGAACTCAGCAGAAGCTACCCAGATGTATTATTATTTTCATTGGGTTTTTTTATTTATTTAAACTATTTATATGGCTCTCCATCTCACTACTGTGATTCTGATGAATAAATACAGTGGAACCTCGGGTCATGAATGCTTCTGTCCGCAACCAAATCGGGTTCCGACCAAAAAATCCACCCGATTTTTGAATCAGGTCACGATTGGAAAATCAGGTGGCGAACAAACCCGGCCGTGGCAGATTCCCTTTCCGTGCCTATTTCCCCTTCTGTGCCATTTTTTTTGTCCGTGCATGTCATGCTTCCAGTCACAACCAAATCGGGTTGCGACCATAGTCCTGGAACGGATTACAGTCGCAACCCAAGGCTCCACTGTATATCATTCCATCTTACAATTAATGAGAAACTACAGAAAACAGCATTCCGTGCACCTTTGGCATATAGCCATGCTGGCCATGTGATCTCGGAAATTGTCTTCAGAAAATGCTGGCTCCCTTGGCAAAGAAATGGAGATGCGCACTATGCTGTAGTGTCAAACATGACTGACAGGGTGACCTTTATCTTCACCTTTACAGCAAACCAATCAAGAGGATTTACCTAATATCCTGGCCCAAATACCTCAGCAACAATCAAAGCTTTAGCAGTGTCACAGACATCAGGATCTTTAGGAATATGTTGTTCCACAGACAAGCACCATCGCAAGGAAGATACATCTTCCAAATCCCAAATCCGACTAAAAACTTTACTAGGCTGAAGACCCTTAAACATTACTTGCCCTCTGTCAACATGGAGATTCTTCTTTACTTATAGCACTTGGAGCTAGGCTACTTCTGACTCCTGTCATAACTATCATTTCTACCATGAGAAACTCTAACTTGCAACATTAATTCTACACATCGTACTTATAAAGGAGTCTGGATTGAATGGACAAATGCAGGAACATGTTATTCATGTAAATAGAATCCAATCAAAAGGAATACATGAAGTACGGCAGGCTAAATGTAATCAGAAGCCTTCTTGATTTAGGACAAGTTCAAAATTATCTGAATTAAGAGTTCAGAAATCAAACTTATGAATGTGTCCATGTCTTCCTCTGGCTGAAGTTTTCCCCAATATTTAAATAACACAAGAATGTTTTTCATTAACAAGTCAACTGGAATTGCTGGCCAGATGTCACTGTCATAGGGTATTCAGGCCACACAATGTGTAATAATTTAAAAATCATAATTTATGTATATATGGGTGAATACAATCATATAAAATTGTAAAAAGAGAGACTATGATAGAATCAAAAGTCCCGCAGCAGTTTGTCAGAAAATCGGTGTAATAAGAACCTGATAGTATAACCCAATTTTATTGAAAACTAGAGACAGAGGAAAAAAGGCAGTCCAGACTTCCATAATAGCCCCTGAGAAGCATGAAGATTTAAATTTCGAACTCATTTCAAGATTCAGTCCCAAATTGAATAAGCTGATCTCTGAATCCATAGAGGTCAGTAGGTTTAATTGCCAATAATTGCATCAATTTTTTGAAGTATCAGAAGTCTGTCAGTTACCAAGGTATAATAAAAGTTCCCTAATTCTCTGGGGTTAGAGAATTAAAAATGGACTAAAAAGGAAGAATTAAACACAAGAATACTCATTCCATGTTTGGAATGAAACTCATTTTCTATGCAGAATTCACTCCACTGTACAAGGCAAAACTACTCGGGTCTGCAACAGAGGAGGGCTCTTCAAAATGCATATAGAGTCACAGCGGTTCACAGGCTTTTCAGCAACATCGCTATGGTAATCACTATGGGAATTGAAAAGGCAGATGATAAATTGGGCATTACACCAACTGATACTATGAATCACAATGAAATACTTTAGACCGGATTCTACTGCAGAATGGCCTTTTCCCACTATTCTATTACACTAGTCGCTGCATGGCATTATCTAAGTTAAAACCCCACAAAAAGAGAGAGCAAAGCAAGCATAATATTGAATCTTATTCCTCTTCAGTTTAAAATGAACCATTTTTACAATCACGGGGATATTAAGATTAGGAAAAGTAAGGATAAAAAGTATCTCGCTCATTCTAAGGTGAATAGTGGAAATAGACACAAAACCAATTTGTCGGTTGTTGTGGGGGGAGGAGAGATCTTGCCAAGGCATCTCTGCAAACTCCCGCTCTCTGCTGCTTTCCATATCAGGAAGCCAATTCCACAGGAAGATCAGAACTATATTTTATTGAAATAAGCTACAGTACAGGGAGTCTTCGAGTTACAGCAACAATTGAAACCAGAATTTTGCAAGGCAGTTCTTAAATGAGTTAAATTTTATGGCCTTTTTTTGCCATGGTTGTTAAGTGAATCACTGTAGTTAAGTGAATTATGTGACCATTAAGTAAACCTGGCTCCCCCCCCCCCCTTCGATTTTGCGTGTCAGAAACTGGTGGGGAAGGTTGCAAATGGTGATCATATGACTTCAGGATGCTGCTACCCTTGTAAATATATGCTGGTTGCCAAGTGTCCAAATTCTGATCACACGATCATTGGGATGCTGTGGCAGTCAAAGTGCAAGGAACAGTTGTAAGTCACTTTTTGGAGTGCCATTAGAACAGTCACTAAACAAATGGTTGTAAGTCAATGACTATCTACAATAGAATCAATCCTGCAGGCCTGATTGTACTTTACCTCCCCTCCCGCTTACACCCTACAGCAATGATGGCTAACCTTTTCTGGACAGAATTCCCAAAGCTGAAAGTGCACACTGTGCATACGCCCTCTCCATGCATGCGCAAGCAGCCCCCATACACATGGCCCCCACACACACGGCCCCCCACACATGCGCACATGGCTCCCACACACGTGCCCTTGCATGCACAGCAGAGACCCGATGATCAGCTGGCCAGTGAGACGAGCGTGTGCATGCGCTGTGGAGCTGAACTAGGGCGACGGCTCATGTGTCCACAGGGAGGGCGCTGCATGTTACCTGTGGCACATGTGCCATAGGTTCACAATCACAGCCCTAGAGAATCAGAGAGGAGCTTGCCTGAGCCATTTTTGAATACTATACTGTAAAGTAGTGGTTCTTAACCTGGGCGATATCGCCCCCCAGGGGGCAATTTCATTTTTCAGGGGGGTAATGGAACGAAAAGGGGCAACGCGGGGGTGAAGGAACGGAAGGGAGTGATATGGGGGCGATGGAGCGAAAAGTTTTGGGGACACTTTTGAGACTTTTTTCGTACAGTGAACTGCTGTATATCTGTCATACAAAAACATCAGATCGCTCGCTATTAATGGATTGAACTGTGTTTTAAAATGTTCCTCCAACTAGCTTCAGTACAAAACACTGTACATATGTGAATACGCATCACTCATCTTCATGCACGTTGCGCAGCAGCCTCTATCACTCTACCCATACAGTGGCGCACCATTGGCCAGAATGGGCAGTGATGGAGGGGTGAGCGCTTCTTTGGAAACATCGCATGCTGAGTGGCTGTCCCCTGTGATGTCAACATAACTGTTGAAACTAGGTTTATCGACATCCACATGTTTTATAGTGTTCCAGTGCAGTCGAAAATTTAATTTGCAGTTAGTGCCTTTCATTTTGAAGACCTCTCAACATGACCGAGGAAGTGTCACCAATATTCGATGGAATACCTGAAATTGGGATTCATTCCATCTCATTCCAACATACAGCTTCCATTTTGTCTTCTTTGTGAGAAAACATTTTCAATTGAAGCGATGAAGCCTTCCCGACTGAAAGACCATTTGGTAAGAATTCATTCGGATAAAGCCGACAAACTGATATCGTTTTTCCAATCCTTAAATTGAAGAATTATTTCCCTGTGTTGTGATTGAGAGGTTATGTTCAGGGAGGGGGGTGATGATAACTTCCTCAATGGCTCAAGGGGGCAATTCTTTCAAAAAGGTTAAGAGCCACTGTTGTAAAGAAACCTTTCCTAATTAGAATATTTGAGAGGTCAGATAGCTACAGAGGTCAGATGGCTACTTATCAAGAAAATTGTAATTATGGATTTCCTGTATAGACAGGAAGTGAGAGTAGATTATCTTGGAAGACCTTTCAACAATATGATTACTTTAAAAAACTGTAGTCATTCAATTGTTTTCCTTATGATTTGTTGCTATCATTTTCAATTGCTTTTATTGATTCAAAGTTTTGCCGTTTTTTTTCTAATAATGGAACAGCAAACTTTTTGGTAGCCATACAGTTATTTATAATTTTGTGGC